TCATTTCTGTGGTTTTTGTGTCTAAATATATGGCCCGAGTCTAGTCATGAGGAACACTGGATCGGCCCGGTTAGGATAATCCTACAGAATAAAAGGCCTGTTCTTTTAAAAACAGTCAAGGCCATAAACAATGAGAGAAGACTGAGGAATTGTTCCAGATTCAAAGAGACAAATACATGACAATTAAATTCAATATAAGTTCTTGGGTAAGGTTTTGGACCAGAAAAGGAACAGAGACATTGTTAAGACAAGTAGTGAAATTTTAATGGGGGTCTGTGTTGTATCGATGTTGATTTCCTGAGCTGGAGGGCTATATCATGGTTATGAAGGAGAGTATCTCTGTTTTGTGGACATACACACTGAATATTTAGGGGTAATAGGGTATTGAGTCTGTAGACTTCTATTACATTGTTCATAAAAAGACTCAACAACAAAAACAACCATATATAAATATATACGGAAAGAGAGTGAAAGCAGATGTGGTAAAATTTTAACAACTGGGGAATGAGTGAAGGGAATATGGGAGTTTTTGCAACTTTTCTGTAATTTGAAATTATTTCAAAATAGATACAATACACATTCATATACATATTTTTCAAAAACATGAAAATATATGTTCACACAAAATGTTATACACAAATATTAATAACAGTATTATTTATAATAGCCAAAGAGTGAAAACAATAAAAATATCCACCAACTGGAATAAACAAAATTTTGTATATCCATATGGTGAGATACTATCTAGCAATAAAAAAGGAAGTATTGATACATGCTACGACATAGATAAACCTTGAAAATACTGTGCTCAGTGAAAGCAATCAGTCACAAAAGACCACAAATTGTATGATTTCACTTATATAAAGTGTCCAGAATAAGGAAATTCGTACAGATAGAAAGTAGATCAGTTGTTTCTAAGGGCTGAAGAGAGGGGGTTGATTGCTAATGAATATGGAGTTTCTTTTCAGGTGATAAAAATGTTCTCAAAGTGATTGTGGTAATACTTGCACCACTCTGTGAATATACTAAAGACCATTAAAGGGTACACTTCAGTGAATTTTATAGTATCTGAAACATATTTCGATAAAACTTTAAAATAAAAATAAATTTCACACACAACATAAAGCTATAAGCTTTCTATGTCAGTAGCACACATGCAGACAGACAATAAGAGAAGAGCTCTGAAAGTCTTCCACTCAGCAAGGAGAGCCACTACATGAGTAGTTTGACCAAGCGACAAAGGCTTCCTTTCTGTTTGCCTAGGTCTTGTCCCTAATTCTAGGTCCCATTTCGTCTAGTAGTATAGGAGGCAAACTAGGATGAAGGTTAAAGATCTGGGTCTGCTCCCAGATTGGCTGGGTTTGAATGCAAATCTACTATAACCCATGTGACCTTGGTCAAATTACTTAACTTGTCCAGCACCTGTTATGTAGTGGAGATACTTGATTGGGTTATTGTGAGGAATAAATTGCATAATTCATGAAAAGTACTCTAAAAAGTATGTGTCACTTATTGATATTTGTTATAAGTTGGTTATATTTTTTAAAGACTTTTAATATTTATTTTTAGAGAGAGGGGAAGGGAGGGAGAAAGAGAGGGAAACATCGATGTGAGAAACATCGATCAGTTGCCTCTTGTCTGTGCCTTGACAGGGGACCAAACCTGCAACCCAGCTATGTGCCCTGACCAGGAATCGAACCTGTGACCGTTTGCTTTGTGGGACGATGCCCAACCAACTGAGCCACCCTGGTCAAGCCTTCTAATATTTTTTAAAAAATCTTCTATCAGCATGCTTTTTCTTCCTTAGAATGACCCAATCCATTTCATCTTCCCATTTATCTGTGGTCATTTCCCTATTATATGCCAACCTCAACTAATCGGATACAAGATTGATGTAATACTGGCCAACCCTACGGTCCACAGCTAGAGTCTACCCCCTTTCTCCAATAATCCTTTTCTGTGTACATTCCTTCCCATCAGTTGACCATTGTGAGGACTGTAGCATATGACTCAGACAATATTTTCACAGGTCATGGTCATTGCTGTCATTCCTTTATACTGTCATGGATTGACTCCAAACTACATAAGCATCTTGGTTTCCTGCAGACTGCTCAAGCAGAAGAAAGCTTAGGAAGGCCTAATCACAAGGACTGATACTCATTTCATACTAACAATGAGCCAGCCACTGTACATGATTGTTTCATTTTATCTTCTATTTATGTGCCCACAGTGCACATAATAGGTCACTGCCTGACGTATTACAGAAACAAAACATTTGTCACATTGCTCAGCTTGCAATGGAACATCACTTCTCACATGGAATTAAATGTGAGAATAAATCCTCTGCATGCAAAGTTCTGCTTCTACTTTCAGGACAACTCAGAGAATTTGGGAGTCAGAGAGACCTTAGTATGAATTCTGGTTCTGCCATTTGGTAGCTTTGTGACCTTGGATAGAGGTAGTTAACCTTTCTGAGTTTTGAATCTCTAATCTGTAAAATGTAAGTTAAAATAAAACCTACTCTGGCATCATTACTCAAATGGAATGAAATAAAGTTGCAATGCTGAATATACAAGGTATAGTAGATATTCTTAACAATTATCACTATTGTCCCTTTATCCTTTCTCCCAAACAGGCCTTTGTAAGAGGTCAACTATATGTTTGTTCCCAACTTAAAAATAAGCAAAGCAGTAACTGTAATTCAAAGTGGAGGAGTGGAAATGGCAGTGAATTGGGAATTGGGAGCCTGTCTTCTGGCTTTTGTTGTGTTACCTCTACTAGCAGCTATGTAACCTTGGTCAAGTCACTTTGTTTGGGGAATTCTATACCTCAGATTCAGGAATCCATACCTCATTTTAGAGTTGATCTCTCAAGTCGCCAGGTTCTCTTAATTTCTGTGAGACTAAGAGATTGCGTTGAGGAATTACTACCTTTGGTTTGATGTTTTTTAAACAAAATATATGTGGTCATTGGAAAATACATTCATTCTTAACTCATTTTACAGTTACCTGTTATTCATCTGTTTCAAACTTCTTGAAACATTTCCTTCAACTACCATGGAAACTTGAATAAAATCTACACAGACTCAAGCCTACCACCTAGCGGTGAAGAGAGGAAGTTTCAGGTTCAGATGATAGATGTCCTGCTATCACATTTGCAGGATGGCTGTCCACAGCAATCTTTTATCTCGTATTTGTCCTTTCCCCTAACCACTCAAGATAGTTTTATGTACATAGACATTCAATACTTCATGACTTAATAGCTTGTTCATTTGGCAGTACTCTTGAGCCAATGAAATATCATGGACTTTTGAGAATTGTGGAAAAATCATTGGTTTTTAAGATTTGGGGAGCAGAAGGTACTTTTCTATTCATACATCTCAAACAACTCCTACCAAAGAGGCCCACTCAGTCAATGTCTTTTTTTTTGTTTTAAAATTTTTAAAAATACGTTTGTTGGTTTTATAGAGAGAGGGAGAGAGAACGGGGTAGGAAGGGAGGGAGGGAGGAAGGGTGGGGAGAGAGAGAGAGAGAGAAACATCGATTGGTTGCCACCCTGCCACCCATACAAGGCCTGACCTGGGAGTGAACCTGCAACCTAGGTATGTTCCCTGAATGGGAATCAAACTCCCAGCCTTTTGTTGTACAGGATGATGCTCCAAACAAGTGAGCCGTACCAGCAAGTGATCAGTCCATCTCTTTATGGAAAAATACACCATTGCACAAGTGACTGGTTCCCAAAACCAAGACCGCCACCTTTGAAAAGGCATAAATCAATACACCAGTGGGATCTCTCATGCCAAATACTTAATGAATTTGTTTTACCTACTACAGTAATTAAGTCTTCAAATTTAAATTTACATATGTTAAAGCAGGAATGCACCGTCCTTAATCGTAAACCCCGAAGGCGGTGAAGAGGCTAGCATTCCAGGTTACTGGGCATATTTGGTAAAGAGTTATTTCTTTTCCCTTGTTTTTCTTTTGGTTTTGTATTCCACCCTCCTGCCCCACCCTTTTCTCCTTTCCGCATTCGTTCTTCTCTTTCCACTTTCAAGTAATAGTCAAGTAATTAAGATCAGCATGTTTGAATAGTACAGATAGTCCAGTATGCAGGGCAATTTAATTATTCTAGGCTTCCACCTGATAACCTCCTACGAAAATATTTTCTTTCAGTCATTCCTGAAATACGGAATTAAGCCATTTCCAGTACTCGGCTTTAAGTATTGCTATTTAAGCCTTCTTTTGAAATGTCATTCTCATTTTAGCAGTTTTCTTAAGCCCCCTTCCACACAACACAGAAGGGGTTCGGAATCTGTCAACTTGAGAATTTCACCTATGGTCAGTCTTGCTAGTAGAAACCTGTTTTTTTGTTTATTTAAGTTAAAAGTCGCGGGTTCAACTTTTACTGGATTTACGAATGTTGTCTAAGTCTTCCAATGACTTAATAAAATCTATCCTTTCACCTTTTAAAACTTTACGGCTCCGTGCCTCCACGGTCATCGGGTATTTATTCTTAATTCTGTTTCTTAAGCAGGCTCTTGGGAGGAGCAGTTTTGACGGAGTCCAGAGGAACAGTTTCCACGGAACTTTCAACAGTTGGTGCCTGGCGATAGGCAGGTTGGAAATGATAAATGGGACTGGTTTAAGAAACAAAAAGCCTCGGTAAGCGAAAGGAAGGGGCAGCCGTGGCCTTGGGGGACAGTGCGACGGCGGCAGCCCGGGGTCGGAGGGGCTAAGCTCCCGCCGTGGGAAGGAACCTTCCTGGGAGGGCAGAGGAGGCGGCAGCCACGGCCAAGGACTGAGGGGACCACAATCTGGCCGGCTGCACGGCGCTATGAGCTGGGATTCTGTGTATCCCAGTCGCCCCCTGGGCCGCGACGGGGCCACGACGAGGTGAGACCGGCCCTGCCCCCGCCTCGCCCCCGGCGGGAGGTGCGACGCCCAGGCCGCGGGTGCGTGCGCGGCCCCGGGCAACGCGTCTGGGCGTGCGCGGGGCCGCGGCGGAGGCAGGGCCGGGAGGGCGGCAGAAGATGGCGAGGGTGTGTAGGCGGCAGCAATGCTCCGCTGAGAGACGCGGCTTTCGGCAAGAACTGGACTCGTGGCGCCACAAGCTCATTCACTGTGTAGGTGAGATCCTCTCCCGGCCACCTCAGGCCCTCGGGTCGCCCCGCCGCCGGCCGCCCCGGACGTGGGGAGGGAGCCGGGACAGAGGCAATTGCTGCTCCGGCCCGCCCGCCCTCTTTGGCTCGGGCGTACCCCCTCCCCCACCCCCCGGAGTGCGGGCGCGCGCGACCTCCGGGCGGGCTCTCCTGGGCTCGGGCCTGAGCGCGCGCGCCAGCCCCTCCCCTCCACGCACCCTCCCCGGGGCGGGCTCTCGGGCGGGAGAGCTTGTCTCCCCAACCTTTTTCCCTCATCTCATCCCCCGGCTGCTTGGCGCCGCCGCCGGCTTATTGTGGAGACTAGCCCCGCAGCGCTGGCACTTGAAGGGTGGGCGCCGCCGCGGGTCCCGCAGAGCCTAGCGCGGGGCCGGGTGTGCTGGGCAGCCACTGGGTCCCATCCTCCGCTCTCGGGCGCCTTCCCCATCCCGCGCCGCCCCTCCCCCACGCGCGGCAGCGGCGCGCGCCCCCGATCCCACGTGCACGCGCGGAGGGCAGGCGGGCGCTCGGGCGCGTGCGAGGCGTGAGGTGGAGATGGGGGCGGAGGGAGCCGGAGCTGTCACAGGCCCGGGGTCCGCCTGACCGAGCCAAGTGGGGTGTCATGGCCGCGGGGGGCAGCGGCTGCACTTCCTCAGCGGGCGGCGGCGGCGGCGGCCGGGGAGTTAATCCTCGACGCTCGGGTCGGTGTGTGTGTATTTGTGTTCGGTGTGTGCGCGGCGGGGAGGAAGGGGGGTGGGACCGGGTCCGACCAAGAAGACTAGTCGCTCTTGTCCCTCCCGGGGGATTTGCCGGAGCCGCCGCCTCGCCGAGAGCCTCGTTCTCCCCCCGCCTCCCAGACCTTGGGCAGCCCCGGGTTGGCCTTTTCCCCGCGGGCAGGAGGGAGTGTGGACCGGGGCGCCCCGGGAGGGGCCGGGCGACCGAGCTGCGCCTCTCACACTGTGTGTTTTGTCTGTTTTTCTCTCCCAAGGTCCCGTTTCCCTCTGTGCGGCGGCCGGCGGGACCATAAGGGCTTAACTCATATATTTAACCCCCCTCCAAAAAGTAAGTGGCCCGTGTGGTGTCTCCGCTCCGCCCGCCGCTCCCTAGCCCCAGTCCATCCTTGTGTCTGACTCTCCTGTCCTCCAGTATTGTTATTTCCCCCTCTTTGCTTCGGTGCTGCTCATGTGTGGGGAAATGCTCTCTCGTCGTCCTTCGTCCCCCACGCCCAGTCCTCGGGGAGGCCCAGAATTCCAGTCCCCACCCCACCCGTGGGGCGTACTCTTAGGAACCAGGTCTTCCCCGACAGAATCCAGGAGATTCTTTCCGTTCGCTTGGGCCCCTCATCCCCTCCTTCCCGACAGGGTTTCGTTGGAGGAATTATGCAAATCCTGCTTTCTGGTGTCCATTCAGCGGCAATTTCATGCGGTGAGAAGTTCTCTTTGTTGTGCGAGGGGGAGAACAGACACTGATTTAATAGACATATCTGTTGGGGGGAAGGGTGAGGGGGTGTTGGAGAGGCTCAGTTTGGAAGAATTACAGCACTTGGTTCGCTCAGTGTCTTTGTGTTTGAGCTTTCTGGCTTGACAGGAGGGTATGCCCTTTACAATGTCCCACAAGGGATGTTTTCTATAATAGGTTATAAAGCAAAACTGAAACTTTAAACAAGTCAAAAATAGGGTAACCTTTACTTAGAGGATATAAGCCTTTCCATTTCTGCAGTTCCATTATGAAAACGTATGTGAATTTTGTTAAAGATCTGGACTGTAACATGAAAATTAATACATAAGCAACAATGCTCTAAGGTATCTGATATCACTTTGGTTGTCCAAAGGTTAATAGTACATTTCAAAACATATGCTTGTGTAAATACTAAAGGCATGAATCAGGTTTTTGTTATAATTTGTCTTGTGGATGTATTTTAAAATTTCCCTCCTGCCAATCCAAGCCCAGCTCTGCCCTCCAGGAGTCAGCCTTCGGTTTCTCAGTTATCATTTGCTCTGCTCTGTCTCTGCTTGTTTTATTCTTTCAAACCTATCATACACTTTCTGAAATGTTATATCTGCTTAGGCACTTTGTGAATTGTGTTATTTGTAACCATCATATAAGAGAGCTTATAAAAGGCATTTAGAGGAAGCATGAAATTAATGACTTTTCAGAATTGTGAGTTAATACAAAATCCTGAAATCATTTTGAAGAATTTTTAGTTTTTATATTTGCTTCACTTTTTAGTGATTCGGTTCTTTCAGTAGGGCTGTTTTGTTTTTAAATGATTTTTGAAATTGATGACCATAATTCTGTACATTTCTTGTTACTGTTGCTTTTAATTTTGATGATTTTAATGAGTTGTTTATCTTATTTTAATTGTTTGCTTTGAATCTTAGCCTTCTGCCTCAGGCCCCCTTTTTATCAGTAATTGCTAATGTTAGTGGTTAGTTACTGCCTTTAAAAAAAATGACTAATAAATCCTTATGTAAATATCTGAGTTCAGTATCAGATTTTAGATTATTTTTTTTTGAAGGAGGGCTCTTACTAATTAATTTATTAATCTGGTGATCAGTTTTTTTTTTAAAGTGTACTTTTAACTCCAAATTTCCATTTTCAAGGTAGTAAAGTTCAGGAGATATTAAGAGTCGAGAGTCCAGAGTGCAGAGCAGTATTTTAATCTGAACAGTAATATATAGTTGATAGTCTCCCAACTAAAATCATTTGGGTCTTATATTTTCTCTTTATTATACAGGGTGTGGCAAAAGTAGGTTTACAGTTGTATGTGAAACAGTTTATTCTTATTTACTAGTTATTCGCAGGCCAGCACTCAATCCACTTAGCCACACCAGCCAGGGCTTATTTACTAGATATTATATTATTTTCCATATGAACAACTGTAAACCCACTATTGCCCGACCCTGTATGTAATTTAAGAGGAAAGTTATGAGAAAATCAACTGTATGTTAACTTTATGTATTTAAAAGGGCTGGCAATGATCCTAATATACAGTCCAAAAGACCACTATGCATGTTGTCACTAACAGATGATGTAATAATTTCTCTTTTGCTTTAATGGGATTAGTTTTGAACACAACTTTCTATTTGATTCTGTTGACTGATTGATTATCTTAACACTTGGGGGCATTTGGTTTCTGTATTTAACTTACAGCAGTTTTAGGATTAAAAATGAATTCTCATTTCCAAAATTTAATTCTCCCTTCTGCTTTTTTTAAGAGGGAGGAGGACAGGTTTGGGTTGCGGAGGTGGAAGTGTTGGTGTTTCCATTATTAGGTTTTATTTGAATTGGAGTTAGTAACAGGTCCAGACAGTGATTACGATCAAGATGAATATTTAGTCTCCAGGTGATTGATTATTGAGGTGTCCCCTGGAACAAGGATGATCAGTTCAGAATGAGGTTCTCTCTGCTGCCTGGTGTGATGTAACCTTATTGCTTGGCTGCTCATTCTTGCTGTGTTCTCAAGAAGCTCTTCCCAATGTAGGGAAAAGTGATTTCAGCTTAGACCTCGCTTAGCTGAAGGATAGCAGGAAGAATCTCTTTGACTTATACAGAGTTATTATTTCAAATTGACCTAATTCCCTCCAATGTGCTTGTAGCTGGAGCAGTTCTAGGAAGCATTTGAATAATGCTTTTTCCTCCCTTTTTTAGTCTTAGGGGACTACACAGGATGACCTGAATTTTTTTTTTTTTTTACGAAGCGAGAATTAAGTGTTCAGTGTCTACGGGGATTTGCCATTTCTGAGCACTTGCCTAATCACTTAGTTGTTTAGTAGTGCTATTTTTAGGAAGGAAAAGCAGTTAGGTAAGTACTTCAGTTAAATATTTATTAAGCATCTGCTTTGTACCAGGTACTGTGGGCAAGCAAAGATATTTGGGAAGTTGTCCTAACCTTTAGGAACTTTTTAGTCTTTAGAGAAAATGTAGTGTATTCAGTTACAGTACAAGACAAAATGTGCCTTACCTTGGCGCAGGCAAGTGCTAGGGGTGTTTAGAAATGAAAGAAATCTCTTTAGATAATGAAGGAAAGCTTCATGAAGAAGAATATGGCAGGTTTTTGCTTCATTTTGATGAATTTGGAAAAGGCATTCCTGTCATGAAAAACAAATAAGCACAAGTAGAAAAGGACAAGAATGTCTATTTAAACTGCAATCCATGATTCATGTAGGGGATATATATAGGTAATATGTTTGTAAAAGTAGGTTGTAGAGCTTTCTAATGCAGGTTAAAAAATGGAGTCTCTTTGTTAGGCAACTTGCAGTTTACAGTACATCTTGCTCCTTAGCTCAGGGGAGGAATGTTTCCTTTATTTAAGAGTTCTATTGTGGAACTCTACCACAGTGACATGGATTGTTTTTTAAAATCACTTTTACAGGGACAATATTGTTATCCACAGCAGTGTCTCTTCTAAGTAAGCTCTTTTGGAGGCTGTACTTTATTCCATTTTACAAAACCTATTTTGGGGACATGTTAATTCTTTGAATACCCTTTGTATTGACAAATTTTCATCCTAGAGGTTGGATTTGGTATTTAGAAACAGTTGTAAAGTATTTTCTGTGGCAAATAAAGGTATATATAAAATAATGAGATTGGTGTTTTTTTTCCTGGTTTGCAAACTGGCCCTAAAAGCCCAGCAAATAGGGCTTGATTTCTTTTGATGTGCCACTGAACTTTTCTATTGATTCTTATTTTATTTTATCTACTTATCTGCTGTATGGAGTCTGGATATTGGGTAGATATGAATAAAGAAAGATTTTTTTTTTTTGTGGTTTCAAGTTAAAAAATTAGCATCTCTATTCTCAAGTTATTTTGTACACTATTTGCAAGTATTTTTAAACTAGTACATACACATTCCCATTGCTTTTGGGATAATTCAATTGTGAACTATTAGCTCATTGTATTTACTATTTCTTGTATATGGAAAGTATCTAAGAACAGTGATCCGTTCTCTGAATTTTACAAAAAATTATGATATAATTTACAAACCATAAAATTCACCTTTTTAAAGTATGCAATGCAGTGGTTTTAAATTTATCCACAAGGTTGTGCAAACATCACTCTCTAATTCCGGAACATGTGCATTATCTACCCCCCAAAAACTCATACCTGTTAGCATTCATTTCCCATTCTCCCTGTGACCCAACCCTTGGCAACCCCTAATCTTTCTGTTCCTATGGATTTGCCTATTTTGGACGTTTCATATATAACCATACAATATATGGCCTTTTGTGTCTGGCTTCTTAGCTTGTTTTCAAAATGCATCCATGTTGTAGCATGTTGCAGCACTTTATTGCTTTTGATGGCTAAATAATATGCATTTTAGGAACAGACTGCATTTTGTTTATCCATTCATCTGTTGACAGACATTTGAGTTATCTCTACTTTTTGCTTATCATGAATAATGCTACTATGAACATTAGCAGCATTGTTTATGTGGACATTGGATTTCTCTTGGATATGTGCATAGGAGTGGAATTGCTGGGTCATAAAATAACTATGGTTTAACTTTTTGAAGAACTGCCAAACTTTTCCAAAGTGGTTGCAGTATTTCACATTCCAACCAGCAGTGTGATTCAGTTTCTCCGTCCTCTTGCTAATACTTGTTAATTGTCTTTCTTTTTGACTATAGCTATCCAAGTAGGTAGGTGTGATATCTCATTATGGTTTTGGTTTTCATATCCATGAGAGGTGATGTTGAGCATCTTTTCATATGCTTGTTGACCATTTGTATATCTTGGGAAAAATGTCTATTCAGATTCCTAGCCCATTTTTAAATGGACTTAGTTGTCTTTTTAGTGTTGAGTTTAAGGGTTTATTTTTTTTTTTAGTTTCTTTTTGATATTAGACCCATATCAGTACGTATATGATTGGCATACTTTTTTTTTCTCATCATGCCCTCAATTTGAGAATAATTACTGATCAGGAGATAAACTGCAGTATACAGTCAGTCTTCACTTAAGTCAGTAAGTTTTTCGACGTTAAGTGAAATGATGTATAATGACACTAGTTTTACCATAGGCTAATTAATAGAAAAAAAGTTAAGTCCCTACGGCATCCCATCA